ATTCCATTGTATGAATAAATCATAGTTTATTCATTTTCCTACTAATTAGCAATTAGGTTTTTCTTGGATTTTTCCTACACAATGCTGAAGTGAATGTACTTGTCTCTTTTTCTGCATATGTGTTTCTCTAGGGCACAGTTCTTCACTTTTTTGTGTGTCATATGCCCTTTTGACTCCAGTGAACTTATGGGTCCCTTCTCTAAATAGTGTTTATAAATGCATAAAGGACATAGGAAACAAATTATTTAAAAATAATTATCAAATTATTAAAAAATCAAATTATGATTTAATAATACACAGGCCTCTAAATCACAACATCTACTGATAGATCTAATAACTTCCATAATTTTGAAGTAGGGCTGAGTGTAAATTGTATTTCAAGGTATTTCCAATATTTGTAATACAGTTTCTACTGGGACAATCACAGGTACTTTTATATTGTTGTGTTTTGTTCCTACATTCATAATTAAGGGAAATTCTAAATTCAATTAGGGGTTAGTAATTTTTTTCCCGTCCAAGTTTAAAAATTTTACCATCTGTCCATTTTTATTGGATGTACACATTTTGTAACTGAAATAATTTCACCAAATTATTGGTGAAATAATTGGAGAAATTATTTCAGTTTCCAACTACATTAAAATAATAGCTGGCATTTATTGAGCTCTTAGTATGTGCCAGGTACCATGTTAAAAGTTCTACATGCATAATTATCTCATAGAATCTTCACAACAACCCTTACAGATAAGGAAACTGAGGCTTGGGGAGGTGAAGTAACTTGATCATGGGTCACACAGGTCACACATGAACAGAGCTAGGATTCAAATCCTGGCTGGCCAACTCTATAACCCATCTTTACCACCATACTAAAGAATTCATATTTCCATAATTTAAAGTTATCAAACAAAATTTACATGATGACACAATAGCCTTAAGCTACTGAGCAAGCTAAGTTGATTGTGATATATTACTCATGGTCATATAAGGGAAAATCAAGGACAGATTCAGCATTAAAATATATAATGGATCTTATAAGCTACAAAGCAAAGCAGTCATGGATCATAGGTGACAATATGAAATACACAATTCTAGTCTAATTGTAATGTGTCCTCAAAGCTCCATCACATAGCTTGTGGAAAAGATAAAATGTTTTCACTTCATGGAGGCTGTGAATTACATAATGTCCAGCTTTATCTTTCTTTTTTTCCTGTAGCAGGAAAGCCTAGGGCCAAATTTGTTGTCCATCTGTTGTACTATCTAGATATTAATGCTGTATGTATATGTGTATTAGCGCATGTGTGTGTGCAGCCTCCTTCCTTGTTCCACTTCCACCCTTATCATTGTTTTCTTCCTTTCCCCTCACTTTGATTTGTATCATCTGCTGTAATTTATGTACCCTTGTAAGCCATGGCATTGGTATGTATTTACATGAATACATACAATAAACTGATGTGGGAGGCAGAATTCTAAGATAGCCTCCAACATCTCCACCCCGTGGTGTACACACGCTCTCAGTTATCCAGTCAAACACATGCCTAGCTGCTGCTTTGAGGGATTTTGCTGGGTTTTGAAGGTGTAATTTAGGTCCCAAATCAGGTGAGTTTAAGAAAGGGAGATTATTTGGATGGGCCTCACCTAATCAGGTGAGCCCATAAGCGACTGGGCCCTTGATGAAAGAGAATCCAAGCATGAGAGGGAATGGATGTGAGGGAGATTCTCACTGCTGGTTTTGAAGACAGAGGTTACTACCTGGCAAGGAATACAGGTGGCCATTAGTAGCTGACAGCAGCCCCTCCTTGACAAACTAAGACCCCCCCTATCCTACAACAGCAAGGAGCTAAATTCTGTCACAACTACTTGAGCTTGGAAGAGGATCTGGAACGCCGGATGAGAATGCAGCCCAGCTGACACAATGATTTTAGCCTTATAAAAATTCTGAACAGAGAACCCAGACACATCATGCCCAAACTTCTGATCTACAAAACTGTGAGTAATAAACGAGTGATGTCTGAAGCCTCTAAGTTTGTCCTAATTTATTGCAGCAGCAATAGAAAACTAAAACAACTGAATATTTTGCTTCACAAAATTGCAACTATTATTTGTTAAATATTTATTGATGTTAAATCCACATTACACCAGCACAACAATCCAAAGTAGTATGATAGTATTTTTTTTGTATAAATACAACATAAAAGGTGGCAAAATAATGCTAGTTAATCCCAAACCCAGCAAATTAGCAAAAGAAGTCACATTCAGAAAAATTTGGCAAGTAAGGTATGACATAAGTCATAATTCTACAATACAGAAGGTCCATGAGAGACTTTGCATGGTATCTTACATCCCATATTAGCAATGCATGTAAGGCGGTCAAAGAAACTTGTACCACACTGTGTAGAACATCTGCCACCCGGTGCGCAAGCCTGTTAATCATTTAAAACTTGGTTGGTTGGTGTTCTTACAAAGAAGTAGAAAGCTGTACATGTGAAGCAGTACTATGAAATATATGGGGTGGTACACAGATATAAAATTATTTAAAAAAATACTACTTATGAATTGAGTAACTGAGCTAAGAGAGTTCAACACTTTTATTATAAATAGTGAAAGATACATGTGTTTTGCATAAGGAATACAGTGTTTTCTTTTAATAGCAAAGTACCATTAAGCCTCATGTTTTATTATTAGGCCAATTCATTTTTTCTCCTTTTTAAAATTTATTGGTTCCGACTTAAAACCATCAAGTCTGGTCAGAATCAACTCAGTCTAGCTGATGCAGGATCATATGCATTCAAAAAGCAGTCTTTGCTGAGATGCCTTTACAAACTACTGGAACCCCGCACCTTCCTAAGGCAAGGTTTCATGACAGCAGGGAAGTGAGCTAATAATTTCCATTCACTGTATCTTGGTGCCACTGAAAAAAATAATTACGGCACAAACCTGTTTTTGTCTTTCCTCAAGTCCCCATTGTCCTCAATAGACTAGATCCTACAGGCAATTTCTCACTTGTGCCACTCTTGCAGTCTCAATCCATTTTCAACTTGCTCAACACATCTAAAATCTTCAACTACTACACAAACTTCAGACACTGAAATCTCCATAGCACACGTGCTCCAAGTTTCCAGCTGACCCTAGATTGCTTGACTTGTGAATGGCAGTGTTTTTTCCCCTATATGTTAAGATCAATTTTGAAGAAAACCAAAGAAAAGCCTGGCCCTCACCACCTCTCTGGCCCTTCTACTGTTATCTAAATGAATACAATATAATTGTGCTAGTGGCATTTTCCTTCATTCTCTTCCCTACTCCTTCCAAACCCGTTTCCTCCAAATACTGTATGCCTTGGTCATTTGGATGGTTGGATGCCTTTTGTGGAATGAACTGTAATATATTTCTGCTTTATTCAGAATACTTTATATTATTTATATTTAAATTAGCCTTTTAATATGGTTTGTAAATAAGCTTCCTACCAAGGTAGCATGAAAAGAGAATACTACACATATAAAGAAAAAGAGGTTAAGAACTAAGGTATTAACCTTGTTAGAAAACTCTTGATAGTAAAATTTAAGGCAAGTAGTTTCTTCATTATGATTTAATATAAAACAGTTTGCAAAAGACAAGGCATTTGCTTGGATTTCTTTGTCAGTTCCTCTTCCTTTTTCATCCTTACATATTGCACTTGGTTCACTGTAACTGAATGCATGCATTTAGTCACTGTAGCATTATTTGCGGTACAATTGCCTCATGTTCAACATTTCACACTATCATGCTATGTAGTACCTATAGCTTGTGTTTAAAGGCAGCTGTAGATAGTACCAATTGTGGTTACCTTTGAACAACTGATTTCCTTTAGCGTTTTGGCATTTCAGGCCACTTTAAATCACAGCATTTCCAAAAGTTTTAAATTGGACAATAAATGTGAATTTTCTGTGTAATGTGTACATTTCTATTAGCATCAACTACTTCAACTCTAAGTTTGGTATATCAAGTAAGAAAAATATTATTTTGGTGTTGTTTTTTATTTCTGACAGTCAAAGGTATGTTTCTGCCTTTTACATAATGTGACAAAGGACTACATTGGTCACGGCGATGGCTGTTTCAGTGTTTCAGCTGTAACAAGCATGTTGGATTACAGGTCCTCACTTTCTACCAAGCCAGTGTTCAGTGTCAGGTGAGATGGGCTGGCTTCAGGTTGGAACGCTGCTTTGATGTCTAGTCCCTGGTCCGAAAGTGCTGCATAGCGACTGGCTGAGGGCCGCACTTTCTTTGGCTTGGTGCTCTGTGGCTGCTGATGCCACTGGGCTACAAAGGAAAAGAGTAAGTGAAGATTTTTAGGCAAAATTGACTTGGAAAGGCTTTAGAGTTTTCAAGTAAATACAGAATGCTTTTTGATATACACCAGGTACATATTCTTTGTGAAAGAGGACAGTATTTAGGAATACTTTTGCATTTTATTTTATTCATATGTTATAGATTTACTTGTCTATACAGGACAGTGGGACTATAACAGCTAGATAATAAAGACCAAGTGGAGTTCATCTTTATTTTAAATACTTACTGCAGCACAGGTAATCCTTTGAAGTAGTGGATAAGCTTTCTAATTACCCCCTTCCCTTTTTAAAAAATAGTTTTTCTTCAATAATTATGCAGTTAGGAATTATGGATGGATGTTTTAACACTAATCAATTGAAGGGAACTGGGCAGTAGGATAAGTTGAGGACACTCATTTCTTGAAGAACCTAGCAGTTATTTCTTTTAAGAAGAGGTAAAATTTGAAATCAGTTCTTAATTTTTTTCTAGTGGCTTTCTTTTTTTTTTAATGACACCCTAAGATGTCCAACTCTAGTGGTTTTCTTTATGTTAATGGATCACATAATGCTATTGTACTAGTTTGTAAATCCAACAGAAACAATTTTCTTTAAATTTAGGATGCATGTATGCAAATATACATTAAACAAACACTCACAAATCTATTGCTGAGCTACTTAAGATGTATTAACAAGAAAAGCACTAAGCCACAAAAGTACGCATTCCAGCATCAATGATACACACATTTAGAATGCATTAGGATACTGTGATGGGATTATAATACAGGAAGAAATGTTAAAAGGCAGTCATTTGCGGAACATAGTGACAAGAAAATGTGAAAGACATGTGGTTATGCCTTTGCCTACTGTTAAATCCTAAGGATGCTTGAGTAAGGAAGCCACAACTGACTAGCTAATGTAAGAGAAATCAACATGCATATTTTGCTAATAATTCAAAGTTCCTGAATGATACTTGGGTATTTGTTCTCCCGGTGTGGTTCACTATTAATGTCGAGAAACTATAAATAGAAAGAGAGAGAGCAATATGAATTTTTTGACAAATAAAACACTATAGTTGTTTATAAGATTAGTTAAGAGTAATAGGATTTGCTGTCCAGATGTCTGATTTTTCATAATTTAGTAAATAAATGCAATGACATGAGATGAAGTGGCACTCACTGTAAACATCCAGCCTGGCAGTACAGGACACAATCCCCGCCTCATTCTTGGCTGACACCGTATACCACCCAGCGTCTTCTTTCGTGGCTCCCTGAATGAGCAGGCAGATGTAGCCGTGATTATCCTGGTGCATGCTGGAGAAAAGGATAAAGTCATTAGGGTTCTAAATTTTTAAAAAGTGGTGTTGGACATGAAGCATCATCTTTAATTAGATCATTAGAAACAGAATTGTGCCAATAGCAGATAATAGGGTCATACTTATTCCATACAGGCTACTAGCCCCATTAAAGTTAATGGGAGAGAAGAGCAGACGTCAAGAGGTTGAATAAATCTGTGCACTTAATTCCTAGTTGAGGATCTGACTTTAAAAAAAAAAAACCACTGAATAGTCTATCACCATTGAAGCAAATGAATTCATTTTTTTAGATGTAAAGATAAACACTTTAAAATAATAAGCATTAGATTAAGTCAGAATGTGCATCATGTACCATTATAGCTTCTTTCTAAAAGCTTAATCCTACCTTAGGATTTAAAGAGTGATTTTTTTCTTTGACATCATCAATAGCATGGCTTTTGCACACACATTTATTTCATGCTACATAAAATGTATCTTCTTATATGTCATTAGGACAGAATAGTTATGGATTAGGTTAAGTCATTGTGTAATCTTACCTCACTCGGTCAGTACTGTGAGTGAGTGATTCATTTTCTTTCTTCCAAAATATCTGAGGCGGTGGCATTCCTGAAACACGGCATTCTAGCCGTACGGGGTACCCGTCAGCAACTCCTGTGTTTTGCAGCTTCTCAATAAACACAGGAGGTTTGTGTGCTTCTTTAGCTAAGAAAACATGGCATGAATTATTTATTAATGACACACAAAAGGAGCTCTACAAAGAATTCAGAAGCTTTTGGAAATATTGCTTGACTAGATCTTTTATTTTATGATACCATTTTTCTGTTTAGGTTTTAAGATGCTAGTCCTCTCTCCAAATTATTCTTTTACCAAGCAAAGGTTCATATGCTTCATTCCACTCATTTATTTCCTCAATTAATTCAAGTCTGATAGGCCCACACAGTCCCCTGGCCATCTGCTCCACAGAATGTCTGTCTGACAGGCTGCGGGAGACGCCTAAGTCATCGCTGGCATCTGTGATGGCTTTGCTGCTAATTACGTTACCATGCAGCCCCGGCCTTTACCAACCACTGCCACCTAGTGGCGCTGAGAAGGACAAATATTTCTAGGAATCTGATCCCCTTAGATTCTCCACACCCCCCAACCCTGCCCCCTTGCTATCTGAAACGTTTGCTATGCAGATTCTGAAGATTTATCACTCCTGGCTTAAGCTGGCATCTGTGATGGCTTTGCTGCTAAATACGTTACCATGCAGCCCCGGCCTTTACCAACCACTGCCACCTAGTGGCGCTGAGAAGGACAAGTATTTCTAGGAATCTGATCCCCTTAGATTCTCCACACCCCCCAACCCCGCCCCCTTGCTATCTGAAACGTTTGCTATGCAGATTCTGAAGATTTATCACTCCTGGCTTAAGTAAGACATACCAGACGATTTAAAGGGGAAAAAATAAAGAGGAGTCATCTTTATCTTAATTTGGCAGCTTTAAATAGTTAACCTATAAACTAGGAATGTATATGCTATAAATTACGAATTCCAATTTGTATTCTTTGAAGGAAGCTATAAAAAAGACAACTTTATTATTATCTTGAAGGAAGGAACTCATTAAAAAAGACAACTTCATTACTTACTCTGAAAAAAATCAGAACTGATTGTTAATAACACTCTAAATATTACTGTCCAATGGGAAATTGTTTCCTCGGATCAGTGGTGGGAACCACTTCAGAGAAAGAATAAAGTTTAATTATTTTCTTCTGAGCCACCAACCATGAATTTGAGGAGGTATGTCTTTCTCTGCCACCACCCCCTCATCCGGAGTAACAATATATCACAGCAAAGCAGCTAGGAGACAGCCCGAAGAGGATAACAATTTTACCAGAAACTTTCAAATGCCTGAGACTCTCTGAGACCTTGAGTTATGCAGAAGGTTGCATTTTTGTTGAATTTTACATGGTTACCTGACCTAGGCTATTTTGGGAGAAGTGAGAACAAAAGCTCACTTCATATTCTTTCTGGGTTCCAATTTTGAAAAAAACATGAAATGTATAAAATAAGCCTTCATGTCATAGCAATTCACCAGTAAGAATAACATCTACCATTTCGGAGCATTGCTATGCAGAGTAGTGGCTATGCAGAGCTTCATACACATTTTATAATTTAATCCTCACGAAAACACTGTGAGGCATTACGGTCCCTATTTTACATAAGGAGAAACTGAGATGCAGAGATGTTGTATATTTGCCAAAGGTCACGCAGCTAGTAAAGCAGACAGGAGCTGGGACTGGCACTGAGATCCGAGGCTGAAGACCTTACTTCCGATGTACTGTGTGTTGCCGTCTCTGACAGCGTGCCAGCTGAGGACCCTTAAACTTAAGTCCTGAAGGACAGATATGATCAAAAGGCACATTTATCAGGAGACAACAAACAGTTTTAGTTTGAGGTTAGAGGGCTGAATGAAATCAATTCAATTCCAGTGTGTAGGAATATAGAGTACTTGGTACAAAATTTAAAAGCATGACTAACATGTAGCACCACAGCCCACATATTTATCACATTTTTATGTGAAAAAACATGTTGATGCTGTTATTAGAATCATCATCCAGGATTTTAGCTAGGACCTCCTGGTTTTTATTCTCATTGCTACTCTATTTCTTGAAAGAGCTCAGGGCTCACAGTGTGTTTGGAAGAGCACCAGTCAACAGACTGTTCTGAGTCCTATCCTCAGCTTACTCAGTGAGACCCTGGGAAAGTCAGGGAAGATTTGCTCTATCTCACAGAGCTGTCATGAGGACCAACTGAGATGATGCATATGAAGCACTTTGCAAATAGAGGTGTGAGAGACAAACATTATGTTTTGCTATGTTTCTTTTCTTTTTTGGCAGCTGCCCTGTACAGGGATCGAACCCTGGACCCTGGTGTTATCAGCACCATGCTCTAACCAGCCAACCCCTTGTTATGTTTCTTTTAAAAAAGATATCAGATAATCAGAATCTGTACTTATGTCTAACTCCTAAGGATGGTATAAACCTTTCCATAAATATATTTTCCTTTTAGGCTTTTCAAAAGGGTAAGACTTCATATAACAGCACTTTTACAAAATTTACCTACAATATAATCAATCAAAAAGCAAATGTGAGATTAATTTGAGTATGACATTGGGGGTAGATGACAATGTATTTTAAAAATTTTGAATTCTGAAATCCCTGCACAGTAAGTTAAAAATTAGGTATATACGCATAACTATATGCATTGCTTAATGATGGAGACATAGTCTGAGACATGCACTGTGAGGCAACTCCGTTGTCCTGCAAACATCAGAGTGCACTTACACAAACCTAGATGGTTTACCCTGTTATACACCTAGACTATACGGTATAGCCTATTGCTCCTGGGCCACATACCCAGACAGCATGTTATTATACTGAACACTTTAGGCGACTGCAACACAATGGTATTTGTGTATCTAACGATATGTAAATGTAGGAAAGGTACAGTAAAAACATAGTATTATAATCTTATGGGACCACTGTCCACCATTGACTGAAACATTATTATGTGACGCATGACTCTATAAGCAAGTTCTTTGGTCCTAGGAGTCCATGCTGCAGTTACTCTTTCCCCACTGGGGGCCATCGCACACACAAGAAGTCAAATGACCCAGAAAAGCTGCTAAAATCTTTTCCTCTCTTGGCCAGGATAGTGGGAGAAAGGGAAAATGAACAATGATGGCTACACTTAAGTATGAAAAATTAATGTTTCGAATTTGCCAGGCCTTGTAACATGTCTTCATTGGCTATTTTGATGATACAATCTATTTTTTCAGCAGGTTGATTTATTTTCCATATTGGTTAATGATGCAGAATTAGTTTACACTGTCAGTCTGGTGTTCATCCTGACAGAGGGAAAGAAAGGATTCACAGACAAGCCTACCAGCAACCACAAGCTCCAGGCTGAAGGAGTTCTGTCCTGCTCGGTTGGTGGCTATACACGTGTAGATGCCGGCATCTCGTGACGTGACTGGCTCTATGATCAGAGAGTGCACCCCGTTCTCACGCACGAGCATCTTGTGAGCACTGTCGGGGCGTATTGGCTTTCCATCTAGTTGCCAGCTTAGATCTGGGGTTGGTAACCCACTGACCTAAACCAGAAAGGAAATGCACGTAAATTTCTCTAATATGAAAACAGTGGAATCACTGATAGCCAAGAAACCAGCATAAATTCCTCTTTCGGTAGTGCAAGAGATGGCTTTGAGTATCAGCTTGTGTTACTCTTTTGCTTAGAACCTGCCAATGGTTTCTTAAGCATTCACAGGCTCTCTTGTAAACATTTCCTACAGAACGATCTAGAGACTAGTGAAATGGAAATTAAAGAAATTTCTGTCATCATCTTAGGTCACCCAGAGATATAAAGATTACTACTAGGATGATGTCAGCATCGGAATCTGAGCTCTTTGGAAAAAAGATGCCCAACCATGATAACAATAACCAATACTCAGCTGACATTTCTATACTATAAAGCTTCTCATCAAGGAGTGGCCATAGCTATGGAGACATTAGTTAATGCATCCATCAGCACATAGGGCTAATATTATTATTTCATAATCATTGAAACTAAGTAACAAGTGCTGCAAGAAATTACCCAGAAAGCCATCTCAACAAATTAGCACCACAATGGAAATATAAAATCTTGAGACCTTGACAGCTGTGTTGATCAGAGATCAGATAAAAAGCACATTTAATTGCTAATAACATGTTGTGTTGGGAAGGTCAGGATGGTTGCCATCTGCCAGCTTTTTACAGTTTTGCCCTTGATTTGGAATGGGAGGAAAGCACTGTTAGCACAGGCATTTTTACCACCCCTTCCCCAATGTTACCAGTGGGAAATTATTTACAAAAAGATGTCAGTTGGACTGCTAAACAATTCTTTTGAAGAACCAACTTTGCCAAAATCAGCCAGAGAGCTCACAAATTCCATTCTTGCTATGTGATATTCATTTATGCTACCTACAAGATGCCTTTCTCCCCACATAGCAAAGGTCTAGAGGATTTAAAAGAAAAAAAAAAAAGAAATTAAAAAAAAGTAAATTTAAATTACTGGTTAAAAGAATGAAGAGACTTTGTAAACCAACAGCAGTTTGTTTAAAATGCTTCTGGGAGGGTCAGGCTCTGTCCTCCCATCTCTCTACCTGCTGTCCCCCAGCTCTCCCGACACACAGCTTTCCCTGTCTGGAGGTCACTAGAGGTGGTGTGGAGCGACAGGGAATGAACAGCTTTGGATAGGCTCCTGGCCTTTCCCAAGTTTAGAAATAAAGTGGCGCTGCTTGTTCCCGCTTGACTAGGTTAAGTACTAGACAAGCAGGGCCATCTACTGACTGAAGTCACACTATGTTTCGTAGAAGAGAGGCCCAAAACACTGTGTACTCTCACAGTGGACCTATTCCAGTGGACAGAGTTATTCATGTTAAGGCAAAGGGCAATGCCCTACTCTCTTCTACCCTCTTTTAACCCCAGGCCTCCTGGTTGAGTAAGTAAAGCAAGCATGATCTCAGGAGCTGAAGGTCATTGTCAGCAGGTCACAATTTGAATGGATCTGCGCTCTCAGTGCACATGGAAATGGGGGAGAGAAAAGCATACTTGCTACTGGAAAAGTGCGAATAGTTATTTTCCCTAAGAGATTAGTAGCAACTGAAGGATAGTCAGTGTCTAGGGATGTACCTCAAGGGTTAAAAAGGGTGGGGGGCTTTTAGGGAGAAAAGCAAGCTGTTGCTTTAGTGGTTGGCTTATTTCAAGTTTTTACCCCCATCTCAAAGCCTAAA